GCATCACGCAAGCCATGAATTGGATTGAAGTTATGAAAAAAATGGCAGACAATTTAAATTATTTTTCTGGTGAGAAAAAGTCAGAATGCCTGGCGAATATTGATCCAAGTTTATTAGATAAATCGAATGAAGAATGAAGAAAAGAAGAAACGATGAAATTTCGTCGTTTAATGAAGAAAATAGAAACAGAAACATGACAATGCACAAATTCCATTCTCCTCCAAATACTTCTGTCACATACTCTCTGTAAATAAATATCTGTGAAATTCACCCACACTAAATAACAATTTGGCATGTTGGGTAATAAATGTCTTATTAAACATATTATTGTGTAGTATCACTGAGTACTTTTACTTGTTGTTTGTATTTTGACTCACCCTACAGGCTCGTCAAAATACAGCACAACTTGTAAAAATACATAATCTTATTAGATGTTTTGTTGTGTAGTATCGCTGAGTATTTTTACGAGTTGCGCCGTATTTTGACGAGCCCGTAGGGCAAGTCAAAATACAAACAACGAGTAAAAATACTCAGCAATACTACACAACAAAATATCTAATAAGTTATTTATTATCCAACACACCAAACTGTTATTTCAGTGTGGGCAAATTTCGCGGATATTTATTGACAGGCAGTGCGTGACAGAAGCATGCAAAGCGGAACAGAATTGGCGCATTGTTGTGTTGCTGTTTCTATTTCCTTCAATGAATGAAGAAATTTCCTGGTTGTCTAGCTGTTTTTCTTTGTTCGATTCATGTAATAAACTTGGATGTATATTTGCCAGCCATTCTGACTCTTCGTCGTTGAAAATATGATTCAAATTGTCTGCCATTTTTTTTTCGTAACTACAATTCAATTCTTCGCTTGCGCGATGCAAGGAAACCTCTTTAACCAGTACTCTAGAGTACTTACAAATACTGCGTGATATTTGTACTCATCTATGGCGTTATTTGTACTCTACGAAGTGTAGTTAGATAATAATCAGCGATACTACACAACAAAACATTTAATAAGATATATGTATTGTTCACTGTCCAGTAAAAGTGTATCTTTCAAAAAATTGAAAAAAATTTAAAGTAAAGCGATTTTCCACTCACATATATTCTGGGCTGGGGGAATTATATGCCGATGCAAAAGCGCATAATTTTAGCTCAAACGCACAATTCGCATAATCCTGTCAAAAGTGCATAATTTCCGCATAATTCTTGATATTTTCAAAAAAATATGTTCTAAAAGTTAAATTTTCCTACCTTCAAAACTTTTTAAAACAGTTTTTTCAAATTGTAGTGAAATTTGAAGGCAAAAACTGTATTTTTAATCGAAAAGATTGTGTCAAACACGCAGGAAAACATWAGTAAAATCGAACAGGCCTCTTGTCTTTTGCTGCTGGAAACCTGGGCTCTAATTGTTGACTTACAAGCAATATGATTGGAGGAAAAAGAACCAATCAATGCTTCCGAAAGAAAAATGGCACCATTTTGGTAAATTTATTCCAGAAACTTTCTTTTCTGTTCTTTTTGTGTTTAAAATGGAAAGTTTTTTCAAACCAAAGAAAAAAATTACAATATAACGGCCAAAGAGAGAGTTAAGCAATATCCTGGCAAATAATTATTAATAATTAGGCTTTCTTAATATGGACTTACATATAAATTTAAAATATATGTAAAATTCAATACTTTTAATATTGCACAGCTTGCATAATTTGTGCGTAATTTGCTAAATTTGGTGCATAATCACAGAAAAAATGGAGCATAATTTCTCATAAAATAGTGCATAATTCCCCCAGCCCTGTATATTTCAGACAGCAAACAGACCTCTTCTGTACTGGTGATATTAGCAATTTTTAGGCTAGTAACTCCATCAAATGATAGTAGTATAAATGACGACATCTATACTACTAAGAATTGCTCAATGTCCAGTAAAAAAGGAATTATGTAAAATTATGTAAAATTTATAGTAGAATGGTTTTCCATGTACAAATATTTCACACAGTGCACAGACCTCTTCCCAAATTAGTTACCATGATTTAAATTTTTTGTGTGTGTAGGCAAATTTGCCTCCTTGCCCTTGAAACGTTGTCCTGGGCAGCATGGTTCAAAGCGGGGTTATAATAACCCACAGTTAGTGTAGAATCTTGTTTCATATATGAAAGCTAATAAAAGAAAATTCAGTATAATTCTTTTTGTCTGTTTGATGATTGGATGCTCTAAAAAAGATAGAGTAAATTATCCTGAAAAGTTTTTAGACAAGGGAATAAAGAAACCCAGATTAAAATTTAACCCTAAGTTTGTGCTAATTGGTTTTCGAACAACTGGGCCCAAGCCAAAAAGGCTGATTCACATACTGAAGATGTAAATCAGAGGAATTATGCCTGTCTTCTATGAAAGTGGTCTATAATTTAGTGGTAGCTTGACAAGATTCTACAATGTCAGATTGTTATTACTTGAAGGCAAGAGAGGCATTTCTTCCAAACAATGAGAGCTACATGTATAAAATCTCATCTTCAATACAAACTCAGGCACACCACTGTCAATTGGAGGGAACCTCCATGAATGCTATGTAATAATTCCACATGCTTACAAATGAACATGTAGGTTTTGTTTCTGAATTATTTATGTTGGAACATTTCATAATTCAAGGCAATATTTTAAGGAGCCCTACGACTACAAATATTTCAAATAGAAGCTTCTAGAAATAATGCTTTTTCTCTATTTTGGCCAAAGTTCAAAGTAACAGTATTGAACTCTGCCACGTCATAATTAAACAACAGAGGGGAAAAAAATGGTTACAAAACCAGGACTTTCCTAAGGTACAAGGCTTAAAATAACAGCCTACCAATGGACAATGTGAAGTAAGAAAAAAGTAATCATTTGATCAGCTAAATCCTTGGGTTACCAGACATGCTGTCCACTTATATCTGTTTGTGAAAAGAATTAATTTTTCTTCCCCAAGAAAATTTACATAAGAACTAGACAAGGTACTTGTAATAAAATTCCCAGTTTGCAAAACTGAGAATTCGTACAATGTTATCAAGTCATAGATCAAATCTCTGTCTGCCCATATCAAGGACTGTTTCTACACTAATTACTCCACACAAGGGCCCACTTCCCAGGATACTTCAAGCAGAAATTGTAGTCAACAAGCCCCAAAAGCAAAAGCCCTAAGGTCAGGAGAACCACTTGCTCTGACAAAAATACAAACTTATGTAAAGCTTTAAACCAAAGGCTTAAATGCTTCTTTCTCATCAAAAGATACAAATTGTTAGACAAGATCCCCAAAGCTAAGATTTTTTTATGGAAAATATCCAAATCCCAGAGAAATTGAGAATTGAGAATTGCGCAAACCTTATCCTTGATTCCCAAGGGAAGACTATCACTATCAGTACCAACCACCAAGCTCACCGGAACACAATTTCCATCTCAAAGATGCTTTACTTTTTATGTGTGGTATCCAGTGAGAAGACCACAAGAACCTTAGTTTGTTTATAGTGCTATAGAATCATAGCCAGTTTGAGTGATCACACATTGCTAGCCCCACAAGCTCGTGATTTCTAGTTCAGCCCAGAACCTTCTCAGCCCAGAGGTGTTTGTTGGGCATTGAAGATGGGACTATTCCCTGCTTATTATGCAGAATTATCTTGCCTAACTTTTATGGCCTGAACTATTTGTTATAAACCCTCTTCACTCTCACGAGTGACCAAAACAGGATTTCTCCTTACAATAGCAATACAACATCAAGCAGATAAGTTATGAGTACAAAGAAAAAATATCAGTTAGGGGATTATCAGTTGATTCAATACCAAACTCTCCAAACTGACATCATAAGAACTGTATGGCAGACAGTAAGGAGAATTACTAAGGAGATCTTGGGGGCAAAACAGTCAAGGGTGGTGGAGCCAATGTTGCGACAACCTGAGATAAGGTAATTGCTAAGACTTATCTGCCTCTTTGCTGGGCCAAAACAAAATAATTTTTACCAACTAGTGTACAAAATGTATGCGAGCATGCTCACTACTTTTAAGTGTTGAAAAAAATTCTTGTAAAAAATTGCATGGATATTGAAAAAGCATCTTCCCTTCTCAACAACAAGTTGACTTCACAGATCAAGAGTTTAAAATTCGACCATTCTGTTGGATTGGATTGTTACATTTGTTTTGTGACTTGGTCTATGTTTCATAACCAATCTCACTTTATGTAAATTCCATTGAATTGAAGTAATGTCAGGCATTTTTCAATTTTAAGCAAGTGAATGTTTTATGCAAATGATCTAAAAATTCATAAAATTACAAGTTAATTAAACAAAAGATCTTAATCACTATTGGAAATAAAATCATACATATCAACGATTTCATTGTCAGACACATACAATTACGAAAAGAGAAAAGGAGCTTAAAACGGCCATGTGAGAGCTATAAATCAAACACAAAGAAATTTTTGAAAATAGAAATCTCGCTCTTTGTTAACACTCTAAGAAAGATTTCAATATCTCTATCGTCCGTACGTGACCGAATTCTCCTTAAAGATATTAATAATCTCTATATAATGGTCATCCGTAAATAAACTAACAGTCATATACATGCATTCTAGAACTTCATGATGTAATATCGATTATTAAACAAATTCTTGAAGATTTAAATATACCGTTCGGCATTTAACGTAAACCTCGCAAACACTTTGCGAAAAGTTACGTTTCAAACTTTGAGAAAACAGTTTATTAAACCAAAGCCAAAGGATTGAGCGGTGATCTCGAGCGATGTCAAATACATTGACTTAAATCAAAGCATTCAGAACGGTGCAACTGATTGTGTTACATTACATTATATGACATTTGAACCCGACTTGAGTTTCATAAACGCATTCACAAAATCTCCAAATACAAATGCGGTGGTGTGTATGTCTATAACGAAGAACCTACGGCAGATTACTTTACAAAGGTAAGCTGCCATCTTGTACTAACAGCTGTACCATCCAATTAGTGATCAAACAAAAACTTCGACTTACCAGCATCACCGCCTGTTCTCGATGTCGGCCCACCATGAAAACTTCCGTCTAAGATCGTCGCAATGCAACTCTTAGGCTTCACATGGATCAAAAAGCAGTATGTATGTGATCTATCAACTCAAGTGCGTCACACCAACCACCGCAGAATGAAGAGAACTTCCGCTCACACAACCAATATGGCGGACATCTATTGTTATTGCACCCAGTCTCCACATAATATTTGTGTCGACAAGAAGCATGGGTCGAGGGGCGACACCAAATGGCTCAGGCAAGTAGGACCCCTATCAATCCTATTCAAAGAAATCGTAGCCTGCAGAGCAGGCGTAATTTTGGCGAGCGAGTGCTCAGTGTTTTCTCAGCGAAAATTATGGCCGTTAACTGTGATTTTAATGAGTGCAGAAGGCTGAAAGATATTTGTATCAAGTTTTACCAAGTTTTAAGATATTTGTACCCAAGTTTGTCATTCAACAGTTAGTCACGTAAAGATAAGAGCTTCTCAAACTCATTAATAATTCAAAAGGTCATCATCCAACCAAGACACGCCAATTTCGTCACGTGCATGCAGTTTGAAACCCCGGTGAACACTAGAATGAGTTTCAAACCCATGAGTTTCATACGATATCAAACCCATGAGTTTGATAAAGCATCACACTCTAGTGAACTATTTCCTAATTTGAATAACAGCAACAAACTTGCCGACAACATATGAAAAATTCATGAATATTTCCATTTTGAAAATTAGGTCTTAGGAAACATGATTTCTAGCACTTTGAGGAAAATTTAGGGGGTGCGACCGAACCACCCGAATCACCCCTGGATCCGCCCCAGCTTTTCTAACGTTTGAAACCCTGATGAAACCCTCGCAGTCGTTTTTGAAATTGTACCTCAAAAGTTTGGTATAGAAGAACGATACTTCCAACGGTTGCCCAAACTTCAGTAAAAGCCTAACACGTCAGAGAGAGAGGTATCTAAATATAACTTTTGTTCCTTCGTTGAAATATGGGGTGACACTTATTCGCGATCAAATTATGTGATCTGTGCACTTTCTTTCCCACTCTATTTAATTCTGAAGGAGCTTACGCAACAGTTCGAACGAAAGACAGGAAAGATAACGAGCGTACTGGTTACTGCTGATTAAGCGATACCTAACTGATGAAGAGTGCAAACGCTCGATTGTTCATAACAGGAAGTTTACAAGCTTGAACAGGTTCTTGCACGAGCTGTCTGGTAACCCGGCGACCACTCCGGAAACAACACAAAGGCAAGCGGCCGAACGAGTGAGTCATCACACAAAAAGAGTGGGAGCGGGTTCCTTCCGTTCAGTTTCATTCCAGTGTGTATATTTTGAAGCTTCGCACAGATTTGGCATCCTTGGACCTATTTGCAATCTCTGTTTCTATCTCCAAGTCGCGTAACGAAAAGAGCTTCAAATCGTGGTTCAGATTAACAATTTTTATGTCAGTTACCTAGTCTTCTTAGCAGCCGTTGTTGTGACTGTCAGTTACCCAAAACTAACTTGAAGCCGCTTTACACGTCAGAAAGAGGTATGTAATTATGATAATTATCGTTTCTTTCTTAAAACTATGGAGCAACATTAATTCAGAAACATCTAATGCGATCTGTGCTTCTCATTTCCGGCTCTCTAACTAGCAATGAACATATGTATTCTACTTCAAGGTACTTTCCGTTTGTTATTTATATCAGAGGTTTTTTCACGCGTAAAAGCTGATTCAACATTTGTGCGTTTACCAGTGACATCTCCTCGCATGTCTAAATGAAATACGGGCGCGATCAGGAAGGTCTTGTTGTTCTCAGCGTAGCCATTTGAACGGCTATTAATCGAATCAGCTATTAATCGAATTCAATCATAGTCTACTAACTATGATTCGATCGAACACATAAGAACTCATTTCGTGTTTAAGGTTTATTGAATTCGGAGATAAAATGTACGAAAGCGGAACTGAAATAGAAAGTAGTTCGGTGAAGAATAAATGTGGCCGCTTGGATATTGGCACCTGGTCTAAGTTAAACTTAACGAGGCTGAAACAATATTTTGGTGCGTTGTTGCTGCTAACAAGTTAAAAGGGAGGATATGCGTTTGATAGATTTACTCATATGGTTGAATCTTACGTGCATACGTTGCCGGCGCTGTTATGCACTTTTGTGATGTTCGCTGCCTGATTTTATCACATGTGCAAAAAAAATGGATGTTACTAAAACTGGGAACGGGCAACGGGCAACGGGCAACGGGCAACGGGCAACGGGCAACGGGCAACGGGCAACGGGCAACGGGCAACGGGCAACGGGGAACGAGGAGCGGGGACGGGGAACGGGGAACGGCGAACGGGGAACGGCGAATGGGGAACGGGTGTACAGCGGTAACCCGCCTGAGAATTCAGAATGGCGGAGTAAAGGGAACTAAAAGGGTCTGGCAACTAGCTTT